TTTGGCAGAGAACAAAAGTGAGGACCCCCCCTCCCCAGACCATCTCCATGTGGCCATTTGAGTATCCTAAACCAGCTTTCCACATTCTCATCTGCAGTCCATGCTCTGAGCCTCTACAGCACAGCCAATGCATTAAATGGGTGTTCACCCCACTTGGGTCAGTTATTTCAGATGGTCCCCAAGCAGCAGTGATGTGTTATGAGCATGACAAGTTCTTGCCCAGCCCCAGGGCAGACCAAAAGATCCCTGCGGGTCCATGTAGATGTGAATGGACTTACACTGGCCCTGTCACCTATAAGGGGTCAGAAAGGATCCTTACATTTGGATGGGGCTCTAAAAGGACACTGACAGGCACTGGAGAAGCTCTTTGGAAATGGAGTTTAGTGACAGCTTTAACACCTGCATTATCTGTGTTCCTCCTTTCCTACCATTGCTGGGTTTAGTCCTAGCACTGTCTCCAGGGTGAGAACTGGGTGAGCTGGGCTGGGGCTAGCAGACAGACTGCTCATTCATGGAGGCTTTATTAGAAGGAAAGGCAAAGCCCTAATTAGTTCAGTGAGTGAGTGAGATGCCCTGTGATCAGACACCAGGTGAATGGTAAAGGAATGACTTACCTTAGCTGTAGAAGGCACCTGGGTTTTGTTAGAGAGATGTTACACGGTGCAAGTGTTGATCAGTTTGGGGATGGATCATTGAATGGAAGGGGGAAATGATACTTGACCCTAATAACTGACATGAGAGCCCATACAAGTGAATACCCCCAGCCCTCACAGAATGGGCAGACAGCGGGTGCTCCTTGTGGACCCCAACAGCTGCCTTCACACCTCCTGAACTGCCCCTGTCACTGTTCAACCCCAACCCAAACCAGGACAGCCCAGCAAGGCTTTGCTCCAGACCCTGCTCCCCTGCCCTCATCCCAGGGCATCCTATCCAGGGGAGGATGCTGCAGGCTCAGCACCGGCTCCCCCTGCCCCGGTGTGTGTTGGGGCTCCTTGTGCACATCCATAACTCACTCAGCAGGGCTATAAACACCCCCCTTGCTCCATGCTGGAGAATATCCCCGCACCTCAACCGGTGGGACAGAGCCAAGGTCCAGTGGGGCAGAGCTGACCCCAGGAGGGTCCCCAGTGGGGTTTGTACAAGTCCCTTTGCTTTCTCCTTTCCCTTCAGCCCGTCCCCATAGCAGATGTAGTTCAGGTCCTGGTACCCCTGACCCCTTGCTGTTGGCTGGCGTCTCTCCCTCTGGCGCTTGGCGTCTCCAGACGCGCTTTCTTCCCCCTTCCCTTTCACCAAAGAGCCGCTTCTCACCAGCCGCATCTTTGCAGCGAGCCTAATTAGACAGGAGCCTAATTAGAGCGGAGCAGGAGCGGTGAGTCATTAGCAGAGCCCTGTGGGAAGCCCCAGAGCAGGGGCCGAGGCAGCAGGCGCTCGGCTGGGTGCTGTGGGAGGGAAGCAGCTCCTGTTTGTGTTGTGTGCATGGGTAATGCCTCCAGACAGTGACCTAGAAATGGAGACATGGGGGGGTTCCCATCGGCCTGCATTGGCTGAAGAGCAGAACGGCAGCACACTGTGAGCCCCAGTGCTGATGGGCTCAGGGGGGGTCTGCCCATCTGACCCAGCGAAGTTAGAAACCAAAGGGGCTTTTCTTGGTGGCCCTTAAGCTCTTTCCTCTTTGTTTGGTTTCTATTCATCCCTTTTAATACACAGCTATTCCCCACAATGACACGGAGCCAGCGTACTTGGGGCTGGCTGAATGGAGAGGGATCCCTGCTGGGGTGGGAAGAGAGAGTAAAGAGAGAAGCAAAGGGCAGAATTGAGATGTTTTCTCTGACAGAGCCACAGGACCGGGGTTAGGTGTGATGCTGGGACTGAGAGAAGGGCTCCTTATTGGTATTAAACCACATCCTGGCTGAAAGTGCCAGCAGCTTTCTCAAGAGCACATCCTGGCATGGTCCTGGACCATTCCTGCAGCCTCAGCTGGGCAGGGAGAGCTTCCCAAGAGAGCCAGAACTGAAATAACACAAATCATTTGATTCCTGAGCTCTGTGGTCCCTGGGAGGAATGAAAGGACACATGGATACCCAGGGTCAATCCCCTTGAACCATTCCCTTATCTTCACTTGGAGAGGGGCACATAGGTACAGAGGGGTCCTTGTTTGTGATGCCTGTGGGACACGGGCATGAGTGGGGCAGGAAGAGGGAAGTGAGATGTCCAGGCGCTGACAGTGTGAAAGCCAGGCTTTCTTCCACCTAATTGGATTTGTTACTCAGCTGAGGAGCCCTGAATGGCTCCGGTGGGCTCCAAGCCTGGGATTGCAGTGAGGAGGTGGGGATGATGCGGTAAAGTAGGTCACAGTGCTGCAAACAGGGCTGATGGCTCTGCACAGCTGCCCATGGTGTTAAATGAGGAGGTGGTGAAATGGAAAGAGAAGGGAGATTGGAAGGAGGGAAGAATAAATGAGCTCAGTCTCTGCTGTTCATTCCCACCGGCAGCCGCTCCTGCAAGGTCCCATCTCGGGGCACTGGAGCAACAGGGATCGGTCCCGGTTGGTTGTAGGGAGCTGGGAGCAGTGGTTTCGCCTGCTTTTGAGAGCTTAACTCCATTTCTGAGCAGTGTGGGGTGGCAGTTTGTGAGCCTGGACCCTCTCCAGCACTAAAACCTGCTGGGTTTATCCCAAGAGAGAAAAGGAATGGGAAAACAATTTGACATGGGACACAGGGAGAAAGTGTAGTGCTGGGGCATTAATTAATGTGCAGGAGATGACAAGCCAAGGACATGAGGCTTCGGTGCTCTGTATAGACAAAGATGGATTTAAAAGCAGGTTGGATGGCTGGAAAAAAACACTCCTTCACTGCAATTATGTGTTTAAAATGTTAAATGGATGGATGTGGAGCTTCCGCAGACACTGGAGGTATTAAATCACCAGCTACTCTGCTTTTAATTGACTGTAGTGACAAAGGGAGGGTGAGCTCAGATGGTGATTCCCTGGAGGGCTTCATTGCACAATAGCATTATTTCAAGGGCAGCTGGGGTCAGGCTGGGAAAATGCATACTAAAAAATGAATAAGGCACCATGAGTTTCATTTAAATCAGACATAGGGGCAGCAGGATTTGCATTTGGGGAGGTTCAGCATGGTCAGTCCCTGCGGACAGAGGTCCCAAGACCTGGGCTTGGAAGCGGTCTGGTCCCATCTCTGAGCATCTCCCTGCTCTCTCCTTCTTAAATGCCTTTTGGAGTGTGAGAAGCCCCATTACAGTGAACCAAGATGGACACTGCCCATGGGCAAGCCCCAGACTGGGCCAAGGGATGGGCTAAAGGGTCTGGGTCCTGTCCAAGCTCTCCTATGGGACGGGGTGGCTGCAGAACAAGGCAGGAGCTAGGAATGGAAGCAGTTTGCTGCCAAGCCTGGCTCTGAGCAAGGGCTGGAACCTTGCAGGACCCTGCACTTCATGGGGATCTCTGTGCCAAGTCCTGGCTTCCTAACACCCGACAGGGCTGTCTGTGGTATGTGGATGTATCCCAGGAGCCTGGGAATGCACAGCCCCTGTAGCACCGACATACAAGACCCTTTCCCAAGTGCCCATCCCAGACAAAGCCAATCTTGACCTGCTACGATGGGGAAAAGGCTCCTTTAGGAAAGCAAAACAAACCATGCTGACATTTCTTCCCAGTTAAAACCCATCCACGCTCTGCCTGTAGCCTTATTCTGACTGTTCCATCCATTTCCATCCCCTTTTGCTTCGTTGCTGCTAACCAAGAAACCCTTGTATTTTGCATCGCATTGAATTCCATAGCAACAGGTCGCTGCTGTCGCAGCAGCTGCTGATTGCTTTTGAATTGTCTTTCAGGCAAGCTCCAGAATAAACACAAAAGAGCAGGTCTTTGCATGGCTCATATCAAAGCTAGCCAGTGCAAAGCCTCCTGAGCTGGTATTTAAAGTCCCAGAGTCCCATATAAAACCTGAATCAACAAAACTGAAAGGGATTTTATTCACACACTCCATTTTCCCCTCTCCTGCTCATCAAACAGTCATTTCTACTCTTTGGTTTCCCAAAGGGCTCTTTAATGAGCTTTTTCTATGGCACTTTACACTGAGCCATACTTACTATCTGCCCAAATCACGTTGAATAACGCTGCTGCCCACCCAGCTCCCACAGGCAAGGAGATGTGTTCCAGTCTCCTTTATAGATGAGATGTTCAGGCTCCAAATCCCTTTGAGAATGTGCGTAACGCATAGGAAGCTTTGCTTCCCAAGCCAGGCAGCACCTGCAAGTGAGAGGAGGCAGATACCACTTTGCAAGGTGGTTGTGTTTTGCCCATTGGTGCCCATTAGCTGCTCCAAGTGATGCTCTCGCACTCCCAGTCCTGAGCAAAGCTGGAGCTGTTGGCTTTGCAACAGTGAAAAGCCCAGCACCTTCCCAGAGCAGGGCTTGATCATTCCCCTGCTCCTCTGGGATAAGGAGAGATGCACATGGAGGGGAAGCGTGACCAGGAGCCCCAGCTGGAAAGCCCATCTCTCCTGTCAATGGGCCCCTTCCTTGGGAGCTGCAGCAGCCAAGAGAAGGAGAATAAGGAAAACAGAAGTACAAATTCCTCTCGTCTTAGGAATGACTGGCTTTCCCTGCAGGAGTAGCTGTGCCTGGCCTGGGCCCCTCAACCCATGTGGCAGGTATTAGCATTGCAGACTTGCAAGCTCTCCTACAGTCGTGGCACGGCCAAGTTGAGTGAGAACAGCCGTGGAGGAGACACGTGATGTCCTCAGGACGTGAGAAGCCCTGGACTTTATTCCCAGGTCTACCACTAACCTTGGACAAGGCACTTGACATTGTGCCTCAGTTTCCCAAGCGCTGAAGCAACCATAATTACAGCCGGGCTGGTTGCTTAGGAGGTTGTTTGTGAACCGCCCCACTGAGTCCCAACCCTGTTATTATTCCTCATCCCTGTTATTAAACCTAAATCCAACTTGCTTAAGAATGAAGAGTCCTGTGAAAAGCACACAGACCGTTTCCCAGATCATCATTTTTATTAAAGTTCGCAAGCAGCCGAAGGAAGAAAGAAAATACAAAGCCTGGAAGATGTAAATAAACGTCACTCAGAGCATCACAGGCTGGCTGCGCGCAACGTGTGCTCTTCCTGGCAGCGCTCGCTTGCTCCGAAAAGACCTTTGTTGTTTGAAGCTGTGTCAAGGCTTTTCATCGCATTGCATCATTCATCTGGCCAGGCTACAGCTCAACCTAATTCAGGGGCAAAAGGCAAGCCTGGAGCATCTGCAGGACCAGATCTGCTGCAGAGGGAAGCGGGATGCTGGGGCAGGCTGGTCGGGAGATGCATCCGTGTATTGACAGCCAAAATCCACGTGCGTTCCTCATCAGCGTGAATGAGGAACAACTCAGGCTGACAGCTCTTGCGAGGATAAACCCAAATAGAGTCAGCCAATGTTCGTGGATAATGTGGGGCAGCTACAGCCCAAGCGTTGGCAGGCAACATGCAGTCAGGAACGCTCACATCACTCCGAGGTGAAGCCAGGATGTGTGGTGCAGTGGGAACAAGGGGGATGCCCACTCCAACAGCTCCATGGTGCTCCCCTGCTCTGCTCACTAAAGGCACAACGCCCCTTCCCAAGGCTGTGTCTGCTCGTGTGCTAATTCCCCTTCACCCACGCTGCTGGGTGAGCACAGGAGCTCAGCAGACCGGCTCCAAGCAGGCAGCCCAGGGTTTATCTGGTGACTATCTCAGCAGTGGTGCCGGGGCCTTGGCACGCTCTGTGCTCTTCCCAGCAGCTGCATGCAGGGAGCTGCCGGCCCCCGACAGAAGGGAGGGAAGAGGGGAAAAGAACATTAATAAGGCCCAAAGTGCAAAGCAAAAGGCACCTGCCCTGTTTCACCGCAGCACCCGGCGCTGCTGGCAGCCGGCCCAAGCTCCCACGCTTTAGTGTTTCAACAGCCATCGCCTCCGTGGAGCGGCCAAAGGATGGGGAGCCAGGTGCTTTCAACCCCTTTTCCCTTTAAAAACACTTCCAAGTCACCCAAACAGCAGCTACTGCCAATGGCAAGTGCACTGCCTTTGAATAAAAACTATTAATGTCTTTTAACCCCCCCAGTCGAGTAACAAAACGCAACTAATGGCTCCCCACGCTGCTTGCTGAGGGATGCAGCCTGGTGCACATCCTCTGTCTCCCCAGTCCCATCAGGCCACTGGTACCCATGAGTGTGCCCGTGTCCAGCTCCAGCCTGGCAGCCAGTGGCTCCTCGCTGTCCCCATATCGTGGCTGGTGGTGGGGCTGGGTGGCCCTCGGTGCCCCCCTGGCATGATGCCCCCTGCTCCTGGTGCCGGGAAGGAATGCAAAAGGCTCCTCAGAGTTCTGTGCAGGAGGACCAGCGGGGACTCAGTCACTGTGTCGGCTCCAGCAGTGAGACTGGGGATATGGATGTAGCATCTGGGGATGGAAAGAGAAAGGTCATTAACAGCAAGATGCCTGTGCAGGGAAGCACCAGAAAAGGGGCTGCATGTAGGCAGATACTGGGATAAGCACTGCTCTGAGATGGGTGAAGGTGGAAAGCAGGTGCTTTATTTGGGATGTGCTTTGCTTCTGTAGGAAAGGGGAAAGAATATTCAGCTGGGGAGGGCTCAGAGCACTGGAGCCAGCCAGGAAACTTCTGTGGACATAAGAGAATGAAAAGTTGTGGAAAATGGGAGTTTTAGTTTTTTTATTTAGGGCAGGGAGGACAGCCCAAGAACTGGAACAGACAAAACAAGAAGACCTTTTTTTTCCCCTCTTTTTCCACTGGCTCCTCCAAACCCATCCATAGGACTGACATTTCCAAGGGGTTGATCAATCCCATCTGGGACCTTACTCAGACTGCACACATTTCCATCTGCCCAGGGTTAGGAAAAGCCTGATTTCCATTGACTTTCCTCCCCAGGCCAGCCACTCCCTCCCAATGCTGCCTGATAAACTGGCTTCAGAGACAACCAGCCAAAGAGCAGCAGCAGCAGAATACTGCAGCCCCTGCTCATCCGGCCTCAGTATCATTACACATGCAGATGGGTTTCCCTAGGAGCCACTAAGGGAAACAACCAGCTGTGACTGTTCCTGTAACAGGTTGCAAGGAACCAACCCAGCAGCACACAGGTGAGCTGCAGTGATTAGGAGCCTCATTACCCTGAGAGGTTTTTAAGCCCTGCTTGCAGGCACTCAAGGTTTTTGCATGGGAAGGAGCCCCTCTGCGAGCAGAGCTTTGTGGATGGAGTTGGGACTGAGGCACAGCAACACAACCCTGTAGCTCCTTCAGAGGTAAGTGCTGACCCAGCGTTGCTCTATGTAGATGGGAAGTCAAACCAGACAGCAGTAAAATCCTCCTAGAAAAGGCTTGGTATCTAAGCTGTAATTGAATAGTCAGGTCAAGTCACTGAACACATCCAACATTCAGTGTGACCCCAGTATCAGAATACAGCTCTGGGCATGGCTTGCTGCCTAAAGCCTTGCAGGAGCTTTGGAGCCAAAGTTCAGCTTTTAGGTGCCACAAAAGCCTCAAAAACCACCCAAGGGCAGGTACCAGCTGCTGGTGCCACCTCACAGGAGAAAACTGACCAATGGACACCAGTAGGAGCCACAGAATGGGCTCTGAGCATTCAGATGAGGGCCAGGATAGGTGCCTGAGCAATGCCTGACCACCAGGCTCCATGAGGAAGGTCCTGCAGGAGCCAAAAACCACCAGGTTGCAAACCCCTGGCTCCTACCAGCCTTACTACCGATGGGTGCTACAACATCTCCACCCCAGGGGAGTATTTGAGGCTCAGGAGGCAGCACAGAGGGATGCAGGGGCTCCTCTCTCCGTTTCCCCTTCCCTGGCTGGACCATACAATCTGCAGCTTACTTATCTGTGGCAACCATCCCAACCCCAAGCTGATGGCTCATCTCTCTGGCCCAAGCCCATCTGTGAGTCTGCCCCATGAAAATGAGAGCACCACACAGGACTGGTAGTTTGGAGAAGCCACATTTAATTTGGAGACAGGCAGCTTGAAGAACCTGTTCCTGGCATCACCTGAAGTCACTTCCTGGGAGGTACAGACTTGTCCCCATCAATGGGCCCTGCACAGGACTGCAGCAGTGACCAACCAGCATCATTCCCTGCTGGGATGTCCTGGCTGGGCTTTGCTTGTTCCTATGAACACAAAAGGGTCTCTTATTTCCTTTTTGTAAGGATTAACCTCCTCGTGGCCCCAGCTCCATAGGTGGGAGGAGACCAGGCTTTCATGTTGCATATTGCTAATCACACTTGATGCCTGGTATTAACTGCAGGTAATAGGCACTAAATTAATGTCACACAGCATCCTTGGCAGGGGCCCTGGGACCTCTGCTGAAAGGTGCCCCAGTTCCAGCTGGGAAGGGTGAAGGCCATGGCCTCAAGGAAACACTTCCAGCTGATCAGCTTTTGCATTGAATGAAAAGCAGGCTTGGTGGTTGGTTTATGATCCACATTTGTCAAGGGTGTATTATTTGGGTTTCAGAGCTGGTATAAGTGCAGCCTCACCAGCTTATAGGTAAGAAGGCTGAGTTTTTTCATGAGTACAAAGTGTGATTTCCTACCATGTAACTGCCCAGACCTTTCCCCACCAACCCATATCGCTGTGCTCTGAGGGCACCTTGGATGGTCCTTCCTGAGCCTTCTCCAGCTGGGGCAGGTTTCCCATAGGATTAACATTCTTAGAGCACACCAGAACCTGGCCATGTGCTGGCCAACCTGCCTTCCTGAAGAAGGATCCCATAAAATGCATGTTGCAGCAGAGACTTTACACAGTGGGAGCTGGAAGTCGGAAGATGCCCCAGACAGACATGCTACAGGATGACAGGGTCTTTGTAGGACCCTATAGCCAATTACCCCAGTTGCTAAGCCCAGTTTTGGCACTGGTGCAGCCAGGACAGCCAAGGCATATGGGACATGGCTGGTGAAGCATGGGCAATGCATGCGCATGGGAGACTTTTGGATCTGGCCTTCACTCATCCATCTTGGTGCTTTATTTAAGGAGCTGTCACAGTGGCTGCAGCCATAACAATCACTTCACTTAAACAAACCCCAACAGCACAAAACCTCTAGAAACTGACAAGAAGAAACACTGTTTGGCAAGAACTCATGTATATTTTACATACTTCTTTTAACCGAAGAGTGGAAGCAAAGCCAAAAAAGCACATAAAGCCCTCACACAATGACTTTTCACCAGTTTTATTTGCAGGTTTGCATATTACAGTTGCTGGGTTTCTTGTGCTTGTGCCAGATTCCAGATTACATGGGGAAAAAAGCTATCTATACAACCCCCACAAAGCTGTTTATTAAGTCCAGAGAACCCAAATAGATTATAGAGGAAAAAGGGTAGGAGAGGAAAGTAAAATCTTTGTGACTTTGGAGACTGCTTCTTCTTCGGTGGCTGAAGAATCAACTCCCACCTTCAAATATTCCCTATTCCTATTCCCAGCAGCACGGCTGGTGTGGAGCTTTAATATTCAGACACATCTGCTACCAGAGAAAATGAATTTTCAGCTCTAGGATGGCTCTTAAAGGGGGGTCCTATTGACCCGAGTTGGAAATGATGGAGTCCTCGCACTCTTTGCTGCAATATTTAATAGCTGAGTGGCAGTTAATTAGATTACCAAGCCACTGTGACAGATGCTAGGCAATGCCTGAGGAGGAGAATTTGGAAAGGCCATTATCTTCCAGTGCTGGGAAAGCTCTCAGGGATCGCATTTTAACCCCTTCCACTCTTGCCCTGCCGTCGCTGTGCTCCAACCCATGTTAAACCCAGGTGTTCCACAAATCAAAGGCCAGCATAATGCTCTGGATGCTTTTTACTTCCCATCTGAGCAAAGCAGATGGTCACGTTGGGCATATGCCTGGCAGAGATGCCAGGAGCTCCTCCTTGCTTCCCAGCTGGCATCAAAAGAGATGATCCCTGGGAGATGCCAGTAATTTCCCCCGCCGGGTGATTCCCAGGCGCATCAACCACACCAAGTGGGAAGCAGGGAAGCGAGAGGGTGTTAGAGGGTTTGGGCAGCATTCTTTCTTCCCTGTATTAAGTGAAGTGGATTTTGATGAGCCTATGAAGAATTTCCCTCTCCACGCTCCCTGTTTTCCAAATACAACCGTAAGTGAAGCTCAGCAATCCCGCCCCTGTACACATGGGTTTCCCAGCTCCTTCAGATGTAGTCTCCAACCACCAAAGCAGGGCTCTGTGTTGCTGGCACTGTGAAACCTGCAGACTGAGCTAGCAGAGGTGTTACAGACTTCCTGGGAAGATGATGCTATCCAAGTGTTGCCCTTATCAGTGTCTGCATTCACAATGCAAGGCGAGGAGAGTTTTTGGCCTTTGCCTGGCCAGCTGCATCTCAGCACAGATCGGTGAAAGCATCCAAAGCTCTGGAGTGAAACTGGTCACCAGAATGGCAACCAAACATCCCACTGGGAAGGAGAGAGGAGGAACCAACAGTCCTGTCCCTGTGGCACTGCAAGAGCACCTTCCCTGAGCAAGCACCAGAATGAGATGGGGCATCATGAGATTCTACCAACTTTCATATTCTCACACACCCCAAAACACCGATAAACACATTCTTCTTCTGGTTACAAAACCCCTTCCCTCCCACTCAGATCTCACACAGAAGTCTCAGAAGTTCTGATTTAACAAGCAACCATTTGGGTATTAAATAAACACCAGGACCATCAAATGAACCATAGCTCCTAAGCTTTTGCTTCTGCTACCCACTGAAATGTAAATATAGCACATAAAAAGAGATCAGGATTTGCTGGCATCCCAAGGGTCACTTGCCTACAGCTTCGTCAGCTCTGAATAAGTCACCCAGATACTGTGTGAAAAAGGTTGATCTACTGAGATTTTGTCCACTTTTTGCCCTAGTATCTCCCAGAACTCAAATGCAAGTGCTTTTAGGAACCGTAACTCCCTCAACCACATGGGGACAGGGTGTATTCCACGGTGACAGCCATGAGAGCAGTTGTGGACACATCTACCCTCTGCTACCCAAGGTGGCGCATCCAGCTAGCTTGGAGCAGAGGAAGAGGAGCTGCGGCTTCCTTGCAACCATATACATAGATGTGTCTATTAAGCTACTGGAAGGATCATCTGGAAACAAGAGAGACCTGGGAGCTAGCTCAATGTGCAACATCACAGAGCAAATCACTTTTCTGGAGCTGCATTCCACCTTTAAGTGTACCTTCTCATACGCTATGAGTAACATGGAACGCATGGCTTTGGCACGGTGTGTGCAGACACAATTGTGGCACACAAAAGGTAGCAAAATTCAGTTTCAGAGGAGGAGAACCTTACCTTATTGACCTCCTGGATACAAGGCCCCGGGCCCTGACCCTCATCATGATGGCAAGTGCTTCCAGGTGCTGACAAAAGCTGTGGGGATGAGCGAGTAAGGCACTGTTGTGATACAGTTCCATGTGTCTGACGTAGGGTCATAGCAGTCCAGTGTTTTGCACCTCTGAGTGCCAAAGTAACCCCCTACCACATAGAGTTTATTCCCTGAAGCCAAGGCATGGCATGACATGCGCTTGGCTGTCATGTCCCCAATGCGTGTCCACTGGTCCGTCTCGCAGTCGAAGCGATAGGCAGAGGCTGCCGTGAACTCGGTGTCTCCTCCCATGATGAAGATCTGGCTGCCCAGGACAGCGGCTGCTGTGTAGCGCCAGGGCTGTGGGCACTCGGCTTTGATCATCCACCGGTTCTCAGCTGGATCATAGCACTGCACTTTGGACACCATGTCTCGGTGAATGCTGGTCCCACCAAAGACAAAGAGCTTGAGCCTGGCGCTCACCACCGCAGCGTTGCTCACTCCATCTCGCAAAGGAGCCACCATCGTCCATTTGTTGGATATGGGATCGTACTTTTCTACTTGCTTCAAGGAAACAGAAGGAGACGCAGGGAAGACTCCAGCTACCGCAGTGTGTCCACCAACCACATACAGGCAGTTTTCCAACTCCGCTGAGCCATGTCCAAACCGAGCTATTAACATTGGGGCAGCTTTTGACCACTCTTCATGAACTGTATCATACACCCATACATCTTTCGAGACGCCGTTCTCTGAGCCCCTGCCTCCAGTGATGTATACTTTGCAGCCAATGGCACAAGCACTAAACTCCTTCCGTGGACTGGGCAGGTCTGCTTTGGGGATAATTTCCTTTGCTTTGTGGTCCACTTGGTAGATCTTATCACACATGAAGGTCTGCCCTCCCAGGATCAGCAAGGTGTGCCCAGCCTTGCGAGGCCTGGCACAGGGACTGGTGACTACCCCATCATTCTGGAGGATCTTCTTTTTGCACTGAATTGCTTCGTCCAAGACAAGCTTGTTCCTTTCATCCACCATGATCAAGTCCTCACAAGCCAAAGCTTCCTTGAGGCATTCAGAAGGAAGCAAGGCCAGACGAACGTTCCTTAGGAGTTCTGGGAGATAAGCCTTCCGCTCATCCAGATCATACTTTACCCATTGGATGACAGCCTTAAAGACCTTTTCTTCATCCTCAATTTCCAGCTCATCGCTGGAGATGAGGTCCAGCAGAGTGTCCTTGGAAAGGTTGTTGAAGTCCTCACTCTTGTGAACAGTCTCAAAGTTAACCAGGCACATCCTCCAGGAGAGCTCATAGAGCCGGCGGCACTGATGAGCATCTGAAAGCAGCATCATGCCCAGGCAGTTGGAAGGGTAAAGGTTCTTCTCCAGGAACTCAGCTGCTGCATCTCGGACATCATGGAACTGTAACATATCTCCCGCTTCCAGGAGGGACTCAGCGTTCTCCTCATTGATGATGATCCGAGAGGAATAAGCGAAGTCCAGCAGTAGCTCCAGCACCTCTGGGTGGAGGCTGTCATGGAAGTTCACCTCATCATCCAGGCTCTCCCGGAGCCCATTGCTAAACATGGCTTCGAAGTATCTGCTGGAGGCAGCCAGCACTGCCCGATGACATGGGAATGACCTGTTTCCTGCCCAAAGGGTGACATCGGTGAACATGCAGTGCTTCCGCAGGGTGTTCAGATGGGACAATACACAGTCCGGGTGGGAAGCTTTGTGAAAAAGCAGGATGTTCATGGAGCCGGTGCTTGTCCGGGATTTACGGTTCTCGTGCACGCTGACTGACATGATGACAGAGCTCTTGTCTGCAGAGAAGCAAACAGGAAAACCATTAGTCTTGCCCTTACTGGTTTAGTCCACGGAGAATAGTTACATTTGCTATTCAACCCTGGTACGCTGCCAATGGACCTCAAACATGAAGCATCTGGTGACATCCCAGTGCACTTGCACCCTTGCTTGCAGAGCCCGTGCCTCCCGCACCCCACTTTAACTCAAGCTGAGCAGGGTGGGAAAGCAGAGTAGGGTGAAGGGAGAAATTCTGCACTTGGGTTTCAGCAATGGAGCAATAAAGTGAAGTAATCAAACCCCACACTGGAGGGTAAATTGTCTCAACAGCCCCTAGAGGATATTGGCAAACCACAGAAGAGTTATTTTTCCCTAGAAAACAGCATTAAGAGAGCAAACTATCCAGGATAAAGGGCATCGGTCTGTTCTTGGCTCAGCAGAAATCAAGCTTGGCTTCTGATTTTCATGAAGATTACTGCTGGTTTAGGAAAAGCAATGGCTACAGGTTTTATTTATGGAATATCTGGCTACCAGCACAAGATGAAAGTTTGGAACAAATTATAGCAATCCCTTTCATTGTAGTTTCTGTTGATAAAACTCACCAGACACTTCATGTGACTACAACATTGTGCAGGACAGATTCACATCAGAGAAGAAGACAAAAGAGACAACTAAATTACACTTTTTAACAGACAGACAGATGCAACCACAAGGCTTTTATTAGCTACTATTTCATTTAAGTGCTACTCGATACCTATTCTTCCCCACAGAATAAAAACCCTTTGGACCCATCAAATTAATACTACTTAGATGATAAAATACAAGTCCTTTACTCCAAAGTATTTTAGCTGCTCAATTTTGTTCCCCCCATGTAACTCAAATAGACTGACAGATACGAATACATGCTCTGCCCCAGGAGTGTTTTGGCACTCAGGGCAGGGTGGATGCTGGGTGAATGTCGAGGTCCCTCAGCTCAGCTTCCCTGCCAACACAAGGGGCAGCCATAAAAAATGGCTACAAGCTGGGAAAAATGGGCGTAATTCATAGAAAAAAGGAGTTTGAGAAACACTATCCAGCTCTGCTGCACCTACTCTTCAACCCAACACTATTTTTCTATCCCCTTTCTACCTTGTCCTCCCCAAACAACTGCAGTTTTGCTTTTCAGGCTGGAGACACCAGGGCTGAAACCCCACAGCATCCTGCTCCAGCCACGTAAGTGTTTAGAAATCAGTAATCAGCCACACAGATGTAGTTGGGGAAGGGTTTTTGGTTGGGTTCTTTTTGTTGCTACTGGTTGGATGGGTTTTTAACTTGCTCATCATAGCCCAAAGGTTCTCAAGGGTCTTTGTCATCTAAAAGCATAAGGTCTATGGATTAGTCCTGTCCTGCCCAGCTGGGTTGAGCTCACTGCTACTCAGAGTCCTGGAGGAAACCATGGAATGCTGAGAGAGCAGATACAAGGCACCCAGGCTGCTGACAGGTCACAGCCTTGACCTGGCGGAGACCTGCGTCCGCACAACCCTCCCATGATCCACGGATGGATAACCTCAAGCAGAGGTGGATGGCCAGATAAGCTGCCTGACTCATGCTCTATTCACGCATTTCCTACCCCCTGCTTCTCCAGCATCTCCAAAAGAGTCTAAATTCAACAAATAGTTGTGGGCACGTCCCTCCTTCCCCAGGCGTTGCCATGAAGTATTGAGGTTGGTCTTCCTGAGGCCTCACTCATTCCTCAGAGCTGTGTCACAGCCCTGGAAAAAGGTGTTTCTGTGCTTCCCCGTGCATAGAGACAGCTTGCCCAAGCAGCCACAACTCATACTTGACTGTCGAGCCAGGCAGGAGCACTGATGCGGGTAGTGATGTGCATGCTCATCACCAACATCTCTGCAGCCTGGCACTGAGGCTGCCAAGCTCATTTTGCTTGTGATCGGAAGCTGCACAGCAACAAGGCTACAAAACAGGAAGGAGAATGCCATTACAGAGCTGCACTCTGATGAGCATCTGAAGGAAATGGTTTTCAACATCTACACCCAGCACAGGGACAACACTAATTTAAGAGGCTATATGGATTCCCGTGTCAAGGCTCTATAATGCCGAAGTGAGGAATACAAATGAAACATTTATGAGTCTGCTAAAAGCTATTGATTTAGGTTTCCTATTCCCACAACCTCAGAAACCACCCCGCCACTGCTGCTGCTTTCTTCGCTCGCAGCTCAGGTCAAGCTATTCAATCCTAACCTTTGATTTGCTTATGCACAAGAAATGAAGCAATTTATATAGGACAGCTATGGAAACAAACAAAAAGATCGCAGGAAGGCAGCCTCATTTTTTTCTGACACTAAGATTAGAAAAGCCACTACTCAGAATGGAAGGAGGTCATTTAGAAATTGAAAATGTCTATAGAAAGCTGCAGCTGAGCCATCATATACACACACACATATATATATACAAAACATCTCAGACTTCTAACATCAACCAAATAATATTTCTATCCAATAGGTATTGAACAGTGTTCAGGGAATAAAATGGCAGGTTCCATCCCAGTCCCCATCAGCGCTGCTCTTCATACCACTTTGCCCTAGTACAGGCACCAACTGGTCCCCAGTACAGCTGCAAGCCTGAAAGCTAAAGAGGCCACAGCCCCTTTACTTGGCCTCTTCTGGAGCTGGGTTAACAATGGATGTCACTGGTCACAGATCAGCAGAGCTAGACAGACCGTTAAACTGGAAGTAAAGCAGTGTCTGAACAGTGGTGTGCAGTCACCTCACCAGCAATAGGCTTGCTGGTGGCTTCTGGCAACTTCAAACAGCTTGTTTTGAGGGTTTCTTGAGTCCTGCCATAGCTGGGCACAAGCAGAAGTAGCAGGTATAATTCTTATCCTCACAAACACACCCCACTGCCATCTCTCAGTCTACAGAGAACTTGGCATCATCCCACCCATGTCAGATAAACAGAAACTGCAGGCAGCAGCTATTTCATCCGATGGGTTCCTTCCAAAAAAAATCTAGCAGCCTTCAAGTCTGTAACTAAAAGGATCTTCTACACTTCTCATGATGTGCTTAAATGGGTGCTTCAGTCTAAGCAATGTTTTAACTGCAGTGGCAAACAGGCTGCACTCATGACATGCTGTTATAGGCACTTCTCTGTAGCAGATGCATGCAGAGCAGAATTTGGTCACTACCGCATTCCCCACTTCCCTTAATAGCTATTGAGCTTAGAGGGAAAAAACAGAGCCGCTCTGAATAAGGAGTATTTTACACAAAGAAACCTGTCAGTGGCTCCTGCCAAGCTCCCACCTGCTCTGTGAAAGCTCAGGGGGTTATCAGAGTTTCCAGCTGCATCTTCCATCGTGCAGGAACTATCAGCAGACCCATCAATGTGAACAGCAGGAGGCATGACCTGCACAAACTGGGGCTTGGATTTTTCCATGCTCCATTCTTTTTCTTTTTGCCTTTGAAAGGCAGTTATTGAAAAAATAAGTAACTACTGAACAGCCTTTTAGGAGGATCTTACTGCAAGCAGAAGCAGATGATAACCCTTCTATATGGGTGAGGGCAGAGGGGCATCAGTGCTTTGACAGCTATACAATACTGGCTGCTGGTTACAGTATTTTCCTGGCTGTCTGCAGCCTTTGTACACCAGGTAAAGGGAAGACAGAGGTTTTTTCCAGCATAGCAAGATAAGGGTGCTTTGGAAATCCTTCCATGCACACACAGAGGGAGGATGGTAACCCCAAAGGAGTTGGCTCAGGGAGAAAAGACCCCCTCGAATCAAAGTGCATGAAAAATACACCCCAGCAAGACTCTCTGGAGAGGAAAAGCTGGCAAAGAGAAGACAGGGGGAAAAACTAAACCTCAGAGCTGGCCAAACTCCCACCCAAACAATGGCCACAGTTCTTCCCTCTGAGCATCTCTTGCTTCCTACAAACCACGCCCCCAGCAGAAGGCTGACCCTCGTGGGCTGGTGGGTGACCATATCAGAGCTGATGCTATGGATCACTTAAAAGAACCTCATTCTATCACCTCTTGAAAATACCAAGCAGCACTTAGAAATCCCACACTTTGAAGCTGTATGAGGCCCTGGTCCACAATCACGAACTGCGCATAAGAGGAGAGCCCAGAAGGACTGGTTACACACGGACTATATTTAGCTAGGCTTGGGGTTCTCCTTCCATCTTAAAACAGCAAGCCATCCACAAATCTCCAATTTATTCACTATCTGGAGAGAATCAACAGCCGAGATGCTGCTTCCTTTCAAGAGGACAGTATTTGGGCATGAATAAGATGTTCCCCCATGGGACTTCAGGGGATCAAGGAACATTTCTGCTTAGAACGACAGAACTACAGGATTTATAAGTGTTCTCCCAGCACTGTGAAGGCTGGCTAAACACCCAACAAAGAGCCTAAATCCCATGAACTGAAGCTGGCACTTTCTGTTTGCCAATCAGACCTTCAGAGAAGCAGCAAGCAGAACACGTTCCTTTTTGCTCTGCTCAGCTATGAACTATTTAAAGCTGTAAATAAGTAAATAAATAAGCACTGAAGCTCCCTGCTGGCTCAGTTCAAAGGAGAAGCTGTTCACGCTGCAGTGCACATTCATTCCCAAGCAGTCCCTCCATGGATGTACTGCACTACAACCCACAGCCACTCCTTCCAAACCAGAGCAGACCCAGCTCGAGCAGAGCAATGGCTGCTTTCACAGGGAGGCAGGCGTAAGATTAATTCTTATTTTCTCTCCGATTTCCCAGTATCAGCCCTTTGGGGTTAAATGCCATCCAGAATTCAGACAAAGTTCAAATTCTCCCTGGAACTGGTGGGACAAATTCTCTGTCCATTTGTAACACACCCGCTCCCTCATCCCAAATATCTGTACCTTTCCAATGCCTTCATGGACGTCACTACCTTGCTGCTTAGGCCAGCAGCATCATTCCAGGACAAAATTACTAGTATAACACCAATTTCCTTTAGAGTAGCAAGCTAGAACCCTAAAGTCATCTACTGTGTTGTCTTCATGGGGAAGA